TCACAGCCAGATAATGAAATTATTTTACAAATAATTTCCGTTATTGGCTGCTTCGCATCCAATAACTATATATTATTAGCCAAATGCCGTCATTATTGTTAATTTTGGTGGCGATGCTAGGTCAGTTTCCCTCATTTTGTATTATTTGGGGAGTTATCGAATCCGGATTCTCTACCCTTGATCGATCGACGGTAACAACATAAATCATTTGTGCGACAAATTAATTAAAGGGTTAATAAACTCTCCAATCAAAATTATCTTAGCCAATTCCGATATTGTAAATAAGAGTTAACGTTAAACGTTAATTTAAACTCATGATACTTATCAAATAAGGAGAAACCTGGAGTTGGCGTAGCAGGAGGACATTGGCGACAAGCCCTTTAAAATAATAAAATAAAATATCACCACTTTTTTAGTGACTTTGATTATGAGCAATCAGGCACGAGCTTCACGGCATGCCTCAGGCATACTACCTTCTAAACAGTTTTTTGCACCAAGAAAGCCGATAACGCAAAATGCATCACGGAGAAAGTCAACCACCCTTTCCGTCATAGTTAATAATTCTTCAAGCTCACCATCGCTACCTATATTTCAAACTTCAACATCGGCAACAACAACACCTACTAAAGCTCCTTTCTCTGCATTAAACTCTCCAATTTTAAACATCCAACCGGAGGAAGAAGTCTCTCTTTTACAACAACCTTTAAATGCTCTTTCTACGGTTGTAACTACTCTTCCTTCTGATCCAACAACTCCGTCCCTTGAACAGCCACTCAATACTATATATAATTCTAGTGAATCGCAGGGCCTTTCGGTTCGTACTTCACCTATTCGACCTCCGAGCGCTCTTCGACATCAGCAAAATCAAGATGAAAGTGAGGATTTCTCACATTCTGCTATTAATTCGGTTCTAGAACCAATATCGCCTGCTGTAGTTTTAGAGCCCTCTTCATATAGACAGATTCGACATGGAGCTGGTTCTAACCTTTTATCTAGGGATTTTGCTACTTCTTTTTCGAGGCATTCTGATAGTGATTCATCAGGAACATTATCCACCCAATTACAAATGATTCCGCAAAAGAAACTTTCACAAACAAAACCCCCTATTAATGATTCACCTTACGCATCTATTGCCAAATCCATGCCTCGAATTGTTTATAATCCTGCTCCAATATCACACGCAGATAGCAGAGGGCATAAACGACTTTATCAAGTTTGGCCCGGAAGAAATCGTTTTTTCCTTGGTGGAAGAATAATGACTAGCAGAGACTTTACTGCTTTTTTGATTGCTTTTTCTGCACTTATTGTGCCATCTGGCCTCTTTTTGGCATTTACGTTGGTATCATTATTTATTAATTAAATGATTGTTTTCATTCATTATTTATTTATTTATTTTATTCATCTATTTATTATTTTATTTTACCTTATTTTTATTTTTTTCTTTTTAATACCTTTATACTAATTTCATTTTTATTAAGATGTCCATATCTTTTTACACATATTTCACCAGCTGTAGTCTTTGTATTCGTCTATCTATTTTTATTGGCTATTACTAGTATGCTTAGAACTTCTTGGTCTGATCCAGGGGTAAGTGTCAATTGATGATTAAATTTTATTATTGCCAAAATAATAACAAATTTATGTAATTTGTCTTAGATTATTCCACGTAATCTTGATCCTTCTCCTCCAACAGAAGATCTAGAAGATCCAGAGAATAATACTCAAAATAATCCAAATAATCCTTTTTATCCAATGCGAAGTGTACCTCTTCCAAAAGAAGTTAATATTAATGGTCAAACTGTTAGATTAAAATATTGTGAGACCTGTAGGATATATCGACCTCCAAGATGTAGTCATTGCAGACAGTGTGATAATTGTGTTGGTTTGTTAAATAATTGTTTTTATATAAAATTTTTTTAATATACTCTTTGATCATCATTTTTTTTACTGATTTCTTTTATTCATTTACAGAAAATGAAGACCATCATTGTATATGGTTAAATAATTGTATTGGAAGACGAAATTATAGGACATTTTTTACATTTATTGCTACAGCAACTGTACTATGCATTTACGTTACGGGTTTTTGTCTAGTACATATATTTTTATTAATGAAAGAACTTGATTTGAATTTCATTTCTGCAGTAATTCAAGCACCAGTCAGATATCCTTGAATTTATTTTTATTATGTTTCAATCTTGTTGTATATACTCTTGATTATTTCAATATTTCCTCAACGTAAAATTACTTTTGTGTTAGCAATTTTATCATTTTTTTTGATGTGGTCGGTAGGAGGATTGACAATGTACCATATGTATTTAGTAAGCAATAACCTGACCACGCATGAACAGGCAATTATTCAACTCTTAGCATATTGTCATCTTTTGATATGTATTGTCTGGTATATTAACTATTATTATTATTATTATTATTATTTTATTTTATTTTTTTTTTTATTGTCTATTTGAAGATTCGTATCCCAATTCCACGGCGAAATGGCACTAGAAATCCTTTTGATTATAGGAATATGAGCAGAAATTGTATGTGGGTACTTTGTCGACCATTAACAAAAAGGTTTGTATAAATATTTTTTTTATTTAAATTAATACCGTTATTTTTCTCTTTACTTACATACTTCTTTTATGCTTTAAGCTCTGTTAGCAGGAGAGGTTATGTTGTGGAGGAAGAAGTTTTGAATGTTGAACAAGTAGAGAGTGTTTTGAATGGTCAACGAGAATCACAGCAAACAAAAATTAACATCACAGAACCGAATGCAGAACAGAGCTCGGAACAGAACCCAGAGCAGAACCCAGATAAAAATACAGAACTAAACATAAAACAGAATCCGGAACTGAACACAGAACAGGATCCAGAATTGAATACAGATAAGAAACCCGAACTAAACACAGAACTGAATACTGACAATACAGAACCTAAGTTAACAGAAACTCATGAACAAGTATAATTTAACACCGCTAGTCTTGTATAATAATTTTTAACTGATTGTCATTTTTAATTTTCATTATAATATAATATTCTTCCACATTCTTGCAATATAAAATTTTATTACAAATACAATTGCAAATGCAAATTAAATAAAAAGTGATAGAATACCACTATAAAAATTTTTTTTTTTAGACGCATAAAAAAAAAAAAATTAAATGTTTTAATTTAACTTTAGGAACTGCAAATTATGATAAAAATCATTAAAGATCGTAATTTTAATTAATCGTCTCGAAACTTTTCGATTGAGTTTATTTTTGACGAAAGTCAATATATCCTTTCTATGAACCACTAATTTACTAACATGCTATATAAATAAGTATATATCGATATATTTATATATAGTGTAAAATTCGAATTTAATTTTGTTCTCTTTTTTGAATTCCAAAAAATTTAAAAGTTCTCAAATAGAGAATAATTCATGTTATAGTTCGTGTGATATAATCATGTTAATTTTTTTGCTAGATATTTATTATCATATCACGATAAAAAGTTTCACATGCTATATAATATAATACAACCGATAACATCGATATTAAATAACAGGAAATTTTTTTCATCGGAGTTAATGTTACTCATGTGCCGCAGGGACATGCGATATAATTTAACAAATTATGTTTTCGATATCAGTAAATTATGTGATTTACTGCTGATTAACAATAAAAGTACGAATTCGTAAAAATTTACCTAACAAACAAAACTTGCACTAAAACAAAATTTTGGTTTTTAGGCACACATATATAGCCCATAGTATTTTATTTCTTTGAACTATTGAAATATATAATAATTTATTATATTTGCTAAAATATCGCTTGAAAAATACATTTCTATAATCTAAGCAAATCGAAGTAAATCACATAATTTTTGCGATTTGCTTCGATCACAGCAAATCACAGAATTTACACATCCCTGATGTGCTGCTACGCAGTGCAGCATATGGGAGTGACATTAACTCCAATGAAAAATGTACTGTTATTTTTTCATCGTATGACCAATATCTTATATACATATAAGATATATTCGTATATACATATGCACGCATTAGAATCATCCAGGGCGACCATAAAAAGTGCAGTAATGTGATCATGTATCTAATATAGATCGTGGTTATTAGTACTGCTTATTTGCTCTTTCCAACTATATGGGGTGTCATCTATTAAAACAGCCCATTTTACAATTTTTTAAAAAATGAGTTTTTATTAGATTCATATAAATTTTGGCATGGTTAACATTTTTCAATTATAAATGAAAACTGATTTGTATAATAAAAAATCAAAAAAATGTAAAGATGAGGCTTTGTAGAGCCAACACATTACAAGATTACCTGATAGTCACCTGTTACCTTTAACCAATCAAAATCATGAAATTTGATAATATCGGATCAGGCTGAAAATCAAAACAAATAATTAAACTCAATTATCTCAAAATTGTTTAAATGTAAAAATGGGCTGTTTAAATAGATGACATCTTATATTGTAAACTAGTTAGGAACTAGTTTATAATCTCTGCTCAAAACTGATCCAACTCTAGTAGTTTAATATACAATGCAAATAATTTTGAAAATTTTGTATTATATAGCAAAAAAAACAATCATCAAGCAATCCTTAAATTATAGCAATTTGAAAATATTGTTCTTGAATTAAGTTTTATTAAATTTCATTCAAAATGTCAAAATGACATTCGATTCATGTTATGTGATTATCAGAACTAGTTCCAATCTCTTTATATCTGTATTATTAATCATCCAATTAAGTTTAGACCTATTTAAATTTCAGCAATATAAAAGTATCATTTTTGATTCATGCTATATAAATTCTATTCAAGATGTTAAAAAAGACACTTAGTTTATATCATGTAATTATTTCTGAATAGTCTCAGTCCAGAACTGGTCCAGACTTGACACCCTGTGGACTACTTAGCATCTCTAATTGTTAACAGATCATATAATTTAGAAATTATTAATTATATATGTGTGATTTATTGTATGATAATCTAATTGTTTATTTTTTTTTTTTTGGTTTTAAGGTAAATGTACAACTTTTGATTGCCTATTTAAGTAAATACCCAAAGGTTCTACACTAGCTACTGTACCTATAATCCTATCAAGTTAGCTATTTAAACCCTCTGCACCTATATATATTAATCCTCTAACCAAACAAAAATATATTAGTACACCTTATTTTTGGATCTCCGACTTAGGACTTTAAGATAAGCTCATCTATAGAAGCCTTTTATCCTTGAGGTAAACCTGCTAGAGCTTTCATAACCACAATCCAGCTAACTAGACTTCAGTAACTTATACCAAGTTCAAGAACAAGTACTTGCGAGCTGAAACCACTACTATTATCTACTTTTGCCCTTATAGAGTTTACTCAAACACCAGTATACACTTTATAGACTATCACCGGTAACTAAGTTCCAGCAGTAATCTAAACTCTCAATTCTGATAGCCTGAAAGGGCTGTAACCTGCTTCTGATCTCTACAGTTAGGTTCTTTTCCTCCAGTTATCTGATAGCCTGGTTGGTATAGTGTCTTGTTAAATACTAATCTTTGTTCAGATTACTGAAATCAGTATCCAAATCTCTTAAATAGCCTTTTATGTAGTACTGTTAAAGATCTGTACTACCTCTTACTCAGGACTTGCCAAGCAGGCTTTTATGTGCCCCAATATCTGGATTTACACAGCCGTTTGACTTGAGTTTCATGTAACTTATGCATTATACTATAGTAATCTGATTGTTTATATGAACTTTAAAAGGTAAATGTATATCTATTTCTTGCTAAATCATTTCTTATCCAATTTTTATAGCAAAAAAAGTAACTATATCTAATAATACTTTTCTTCCAACAGTTGTAAAAGTTAATAAATAAAGTTATTGATTTTCTAGACTCATATAATAGAGAAAATAAGTTATTCTTTAAAGATGAAGACATTAAAGCAATTCAAGATAACCATGTCTATAGGTTTTATTTTCTTGAATTGTCTAAAGAAGACCTTCTAGCTCCTCCATACAACCTTCTTGATAGATCAGCTAAAACTATTGCTAGATTAATTAGAAGCATTAAGGGCAAGGATCATGATAAGTAATATCACAACTGCATTTAAATATTTCAGACCTATACTGCTTTCTTTAATATGAACATTTTTTGCTATACTAAAATTTCTTGCTTTAATTTACTGTTTTGTTTTATAGACCTTACTTTGAACCTTGAATACTTATGAAAAAATAGTAAGATTAGAAGTATATAAAAATACTTACTTTTGAACTTATATCTAAATAAATCATTTCTAATAATAGATGATTCTTTGTACTTTTTGGCTCTTAATCTACTTAAGGTAAGACCTGAGTTTATTCCACCTTGTACAAATTTATTAGAATATATTTAACAACTATTTATCAAACCAATTAAAGTTCATTTAATCAATTATAATCTTTACTTTAAGTTAAAGCTCAATCTAGAAATCTTAGATAAATTTTTTGTAAGTTCACTTAATGCCTCCTCACAATTATAATTTGAATATCTTATACAAATTCTTTGTTTATCTGAATTTGGTCTTACTGAAGACTTTTTTTATTTATTTTGGAATGCACTTATTTTTAAGCCTTTTAAAATTGTATATCTATCTGAAAATTTTAATCTAAACTCGAATTGCCACACTTCTACAAAAAGATTTCAATCTGACCTTCTTATTTGGTATATAATACTTGTATCTTGTGAAAAGAGAAGAACAGAGTTTTGACAATAATAATAATCTAGCAATTGAGTTGATCTCAAAATTAACATAGATATATGGCAATTGTTTCTATATTTTTTGGATATTATGTATATAGTACTATGGTAACATATTGTTATTTGTATTTTGAAAAAAATCAAGTCAAATAGAAGAACCTAGTTACTTGTTTACTGAAAAATCTAGAGAGACATATACAGGTTTTTAATATTAGAATAAATATTGGTTAACTGCTACCACTTTTTTGTCAAACTCTTCTAGATTTTTTTAAGTAGAAATTCATTGTTCTCTACTAGTTGAGTGGTAAAACAATTAAGTTGTTGAAAAACTCAGTCATAAAATATTATAATTCAGCAGAGTCTGTTGAAAAACTTAAAAATCTTTACCATAAAATAGATAACTATAATATTTCTTTCATTAATCACTTGATCAATGCTAATACAGAAAAAACAAAATTCTGTTTACTATTTTTTCACCAAAGGGTGTAATGCATAAACCAAATTCTAAGAAACAACTAATCAAAACATTATATTGTGTCTTACTATTTTTAAGGTCCTCTTTAATATTCATTTTGTTTACTTTTTGTTTCTTAGAAATATAGACATTTATTAAATTAAGCATTTATCTCTAGTCTCTTTATAAAATAAGCATTATGCATTGTGATCTCTGTTGAGATAATGTATTAAGATTTATTAATCAAAATAAATAATTCATTACCAATTTTGATGATGCATGTCATACTCTTTCAAATACTTCTAATACACAATTGGCATGTAATAACTATGCTCCCAAGATTTTTCAGTTTGATCATGATGAAAGTGTTGATATTTGGTTGGTCAGTTATTTGATTATAATAGCCTATACAGATGTTCAAGAATTAAATGATTATACAAAAATAAAATTGATAACAAATAAATATCTTGATAAACTAATAGCTAAAGAGGCATTAAGGTGGCTTTAGGATAATTATAAAAATATTCACAGAAAGGAGTTTTTAAAAGAAGTTACAATAAAGAAATCATAATGATTAGTATAATGTGAATATTTTAAATAATATACAAATACTGCAAAATAATTTAGCATTAAGTAAATTATATGATCTGAACTTGCTTAAACCTAAGTTTTATTGTTATATAATTTTGCATTAAAAATTGTTGTGCTCAATTGGTTTCTGAAGTTAGTTTAAAGAAATTTGTAGTTATATTTCTTATAGTTTAAAGTATAATTA